ATAGATCGGACTCATAATGATTCTCCTGATTTTAGTCTCCCAAGCACTAGGATTACAGGTGCGCACCACCACAACCAGTCTTAATCGCTGTCTCAGCGCGCCCTGCGGGTAGGGCCTGCACGGCACGCTGGGGATTGAACCCTAGCCACTGTGCTCTGCTTGTGCAGGTGTTTTAGTCCACTGAGCTATCAGGCTCGCCCTCAGGTCCCTTTTAAATATTTTTCAAATAATAGTAGCTGCCAAAGCACATTAATAAAAACAGAGTCAGCTAGAATCAGGTAGTTAGCACCAATTGTGGCAAATAAGGGCAGCCAGATTGCTCAGAGGATTAAAGCCCCTGCTTAGGCAGACACAGGGGCTGGGGATTCGATCCCCCTGGCCAGTTCCCCCCCGCCCGGGGTGTGCTGAGACAGCGACTGAGACTGGGCATGGTGGCGTGCCTGTAATCCCAGAGCTTGGGAGGCTGAAAACAGGAAGGTCACTCCAAGTCCAATCTACATAGTGAGCCCCTGAACACACTGTACTAAATACAAAAAAAAATTAAATTTAAATTTAAAAGTACCTACTAAATTAAATCCAATTTCTAATGTTTTCCATTTCTTTCTAACACTGACAAAGTCGACCTCATCTTAAATTATCTAAAGGGTCTGTTGCTTGTTCTTGATGATGTAAAGAATTAAGGGAGCATCCACAGGCCATGAGAGCAAAGCCAATTCTAATAAAAGGGGTGGAGAGGGCCAGGGAGATGGCTCAGCGCAATAAGCGCTTCCCTGGCAAGCACAAGGGTCTGAGTTCAAACGCCGGTTCAGGAGAAAAAAAAAAAAAAAGTGGAGTGAAACTTCGGGGTTGAGAAAAAAGGAAATACTCTTAGTCTAGGTTAATACTATTTTTAACTATGGGGCACATTAAAGAAAGAAGATAACGAGCCCGTGTGATTTCTAAAATAACATAATCACATTACAGTGTTAGGATATTCTCTGGCTGTAACATTCATTTTGTTGTGTATTTTACAGCCTTCAAGAGCAACCTGTTTTGAGCAATTTGAACAAAAGAAGAAAGGCTTTCAGAGAAGAAAACAGAAATTCCAGTTACATAAATGTAACTAGGCAGTAAAACACAATGTTTTTTTCTACAATCTGTTATCACATCAATTAGATTAAATAAGTTTATACAAAGACAGTTCATGGTAGTGACCTTCATTATAAAACAAATTTAAAAAGCAGGTGGCACCCTTCTGGATAATGTAGAGGCCTAACTCTTACAGAAGACTAGGAGAAGGGCTGGTGAGATGGCTCAGTGGACTAAGAGCCTGCTTGGGCAAGCGCAGGGACCAGGGACCGGGAGTCACCCACAACACGTGCTGCGCTGAGCCAGCCCCTGAGACCGAGACCGGGCGTGGTGGTGCATGCCTGCAAACCCAGGGCTGGGGAGGTTGAAAACAGGAGGATCACTGCAAGTCAGAGCTGTGTAGTGAGACCCTATACAGAACACATTTTTTTAAAAAAATACTCGGGGAGGCTGCAAAATATGGGTGTGAAACTAAACAAATCTGAACCCTGAAACTTGGAGAGACTATGTTTAAATTTTTAAGTACAGTCTGTCAGTTTCACATGAATACTCTCAACACATTATATGCATCAATTCATGTTGAGTAGGAATCTATTTTTCACCACACGCTTTGTGCCCCACCTACCTATGAGCAATGTGTAATACTTTTACTCTTATATATACATACCTGTACATTTATATTTAATTTGCCATAAGAACTTGGCTTTTATTTCATAAAATGTGATAGGAAATTTATTTACATCCTAACCTATGTGAGTTCAAAGAGACAGTCTTTTCTTATTTCTCAAAATTAATAGTTGAAAGTAAAGGAAGAAATCCTTATGAATGATTATAATGATACACACGAAGCATTTCTAGAAAATTCCCAAATCCAACTCTGAATGCCCAACCGACAGAGCACGCAGGGGACCACGCTGTGTGCACATCAAATTTTACACATACAGCCCTAATAGAATGGCACAGCCTTTGGGACCACTGGTCCTGTTTGTTTCTTAGTTTATCCATTTCTTTTCTTCTCTTTTCTCTTCCCTACCATCAATTTTTTTACTGATCCTCAATTCTTTTCAGATTTAGCTGCACATGAGCCTTGGCAACCTTGAGGCCAGAACATTCACTGTCTCGCAGTTCCAAATAGGCTGCTATTTTCTCTGTGATTGCCACTTAAGTCTTCCGTAACCATACACTGTTAGGTTACAGCCCCAGTCTTTCTAAATGATTTATGTTCTTGACTTCTAATTTGATGTACTGCATTTAGAGCCTGTGTTCTGACCTTCACTGGTACCTCCTTTGAAACCTAAAACCTGTCCAGTGCACATAACTCTTACATGTATCCTTAAAACATTTATAAAATTTCTGTTGAGGGATGTAGATTAATCTACTAGTTTACATCATTGCATTATTTATTACTTAATATATCAATTTTTGTTAACTTTTTTATGTATTTAGTACAGGGTCTACATGGTCTCACTACACAGATCTGACTCATAGTGATCCTCCTGTTTTCAGCATCCCAAGTGCTGTGATTACAGGTGCACACCACCATGCCCGGTCTCAATCACCATATCAGCATGCCCAGGGGTGTGGAAGCACGGCATGCCGGGGATCAAACCCTGGCTGCTGTGCTCTGCGTAAGCAGGTACTTTAGTCCACTGAGCTATCTGGCCAGCCCTTAATATATCAATTTCTGATTAAGGTTTGTTTAAAACCTCCCAGGATGACTGAATGCATCAAATTTACCTTAGAATCAAGCCAGTTTTATTTTTCAGACAACACTGAATATGCAGAAGATTATAGTTTTTATAGGTTCTCTTTCTTCTTCAGTACTGAGATTTGAACCCAAGACCTTCTCAATACCCAACAACCCCAGCCCCTTACCCTTTCTTTTAAGATACATTCTTGAAAGTCACCAAGCTGCTAGGCTTTAATCTGTGATCCTCCTGCCTCAGCCTACCGGAGTGTCAGAATGAAGGTCACAGTAATGCAAGCTCTGAGCAAACTCTTGCCTTCTCTCTCATTTCCACATTCAGGCTCACTCTGGTGCACATGACAGGAAAGTGTGTACCACTGGCCTGGTGGCCACAAGGATGTCCAGGAGTCTGCATCCCACCTCCTCCCTCAGGAGGTGCCCTGTAGCATTAAAATGCTTCCAAGGTAAGCCCATCTGGCACCCATGAATAAGACACATGAGCACCATCTAAGAACTACAGGATGGAAAATGTATGTGTTATCTGTGGACAGTGCAGTAAATTTAGCTGCCACATGGAAGCAAGAACTTCACCTGCTAGCTCACCTACCATAGAATCTGGGAAGAGCACAGTAGACTATCTGTTAAATAAATGACTCTAAGGCTGGGTACAGACCAGATAGACCGAGACAGCTCAGCAGTCTAAGCACTTGCCTGGCAAGCGCAAGGACCCGGGTTCTATGCCTGGTACAGCATGCCGTGTCAGCCCCACACCAAGCCAGTCACCAGAACTGGGCATGGTGGCACACACCTGTAACCCCATCACTGGGGAGGCTGAGACAGGAGGATCACCAGGCGTCTGAGCAACATAAAGAGGCCCAGTACCAAAAAAAGAAAAAGATAAATAATTATTTTAAAAATTAAAAAATAAATGACTCTGATATGGAAAGCTGATTGTAGTTTGCATATTTTTCATTCTAATGGATGTTAGTATGCTTTTTCTTCTTGAGAAAGGAGATCCACATATGTATGTAAAGTAAATATGTATAGCTGAAGATCAGTACTCTATGCCTGAGCTACAGCTTCATTGTCTACTTTGCTGTTGTTGTTGTTGCTGTTGCTGTTGTTGTTATTCCTAATGACTATCACGGAGTGGATATAGGAAAGATATAACAGCTCCTAGAAGCCATGGAATTAATGATTCATATGAAAAGGGACACAATGACATACCTGTGACAGTTAATCTCGATGGTCAATCAAATTATCCTGAGCGACTCCTAGGAGGTTGATTAGTGAAGCACGTTTCTAAGCATGTTTGGATTTGTCATGAAGTGGGACGACCTTGCACGTGGCCTTCCTCTCTAAATCGCCTCCTACTTTCTGCTTCCTGGATGGCATGACTTCAGCAGCCACCTTCCACCAGGCCCTTCCACCACGCCACCTACCATGGACTAATACCTCTGAAACCATAAGCCAACAATCCTCTCATTCTGTAAGTTGTAGGTGTCGGGTGCCTTGTTCCAGCAACAGAACAGCTGAACTGCGGAATTTGAAAGACAGCTGTAGTCACCCAAGTGGAGAAAAGAAGTCATTGAAAGGGAAAGAAAAAGTGTACACTATCTCAGAAAGACAGTGATGAATGTAATCTATTTACTAAAAATTAGTTCTTTCTGCCTGCTACATTTAATATGCATAGGAAAGTGATGGAAATTTTTTTTGGTATTTCTGAGAGAAAGCCAGTGTCCCCCTAAGAACATTATTTTCTACATTATAAAAATATGCAACTAACATTTTTAAAATTTTTATTCATTTTAATGAGAAAAAATAGCAATGAAGCAGTTTCAAAACAGGTTATTAGGAGAGCTACAATAATTAATATATTGCATATTGTCTTCATAGGAGTTATTCAGAGGACAAGATGCAGACATGAGATCTTGTCTAAACAATATTAGTACAAATCTTTCTTCTCATTGAACTAATAGAAGGTAGCTGTATATCTATCCTAACTATTTTGTGTATACATATATTTTTTCACTATAAAATGGTCCTTTATTTATATCCCCCATTTTTGTTTTGCTTTGTTTTGTCAGAGATGGGCGTTCTACTATTGTTGGAGAAGCTGTATTTGGAGAAGTCTTTAAAGGACCTTTTCATACGAGCAGCTAACATTTTTAACTTCAAAAAATCAAGAGACTATTAAAGACCCAAGACAGGTGCTTTAAGTTTTAGTAATAAAATTGAATCAATTGCATTTACCTGGCCGGGGAGATGCCATGAGCACGAAGGTGGCTTTGCCAGGGGAGGCTCACCCATTGTATTCTGGCCGTGCTGACCCCTGCGATCTCCCCAAGTGCTGGAGACTCCACTGCATAATATGTGATAGTGGGGAACTGTGTTCACACCTTCCCCTGAAAAGGAAATTAAATCGTTTAATAAGTAAGTGGAAAATCTATATAACTAGTTTTATTCCAAAAAAGTAAGACCCAACAGCATATTCCCTACACTAGTTAATGCCTACATTTACCTGATTTCATTTTTCCATTATTATCATCAACAAAACTTTACAATTTCAGGAAGTCAAATTCTTGCCCAAGCAGATAAAGGTTGCAAGTAACTTCTCTGTTCATGCCAAGAACAGTCAATCAAGTCCTCAATGAAAAGGATAAACAAGAATTTATAGTCCCAGATGCTTTGATCCCCTCTCCTCAAAATCTACCAGTGTTAAAGTATATGCCATCTCTTAAGCTGATTCTAGTCAGGCCCTCATATTGAAAGACCAGACCTACCCTGGACTCTAAGTACTCATAAATATGCTGACTGTGCATGCATGGTAAGAATAAATTCAGCTTTGTTTTGTCCTTATTTTGATAATATTTCTGAGGCAGGTCAGGAATCATGACTAGAAAGAAAAAGCAAGGGCCTGTGAGATAGCTCAGCAGTCTAAGCACCTGCCTGGCAAGTGCAAGTACCCAGGCTCAATCCTCAGGACCGCATGCTGTGCTGGTCCCTGAATCCCAGGCATGCCAAGCTGGTCATCAAAACCAGGAATGGTGGTGCACGCTTGTAATCCAAGCTGCATAGTGAAACCCTGTACCGAAATACATAAATTTTAAAAAAGAAAGAACAATATAAGTGAAAGTAAGAAAATACCTACAAGAAAACCCAACCCTATTCCAGAAGGTCAGAAAAGGGCCACGGTATATGATTCCTGGGAGTAATTAAGACTGATGACCACAATTCCTTACTAATGTTACAGGTGGGTATGTCTTCCTCAAAAACAGGTCTTCAGTTTTAGCTGGTGGGATCCTCCCTGGGGCACTGAGGGAGAAAGACACCTGCCTTCCATCTTGTGCACTTATGTATCAATCATGGTGTGATGGTTTGGGGTTTTTGCAAGGTGAAAAATACAGTACATGACACATTTTGTAATGGTATTTTATAATGAATCACCCAAGAATCACATACTACAAGTGCAAGAAATCCATCCACACACTAAATACTAAGTAATCCAGCTGAAGGCTTAGAGCTCATAGCAATGCCTCCCACCAGTCCAGCTGGAGGCCTGAAGCCCTAAACAAAGTCCCCTGCAGGCCCGCTTCATGGATCTGTGTTGCAAAGGCCCAAAGGTCAGTGGTGGAAGGTAGGAAGTCTATGCTAGTGGGATGAAGGATCTGTGCTAGCAGGCTGAGGGATCTGAACTGAAGCTAGGAAGCAACGCTCAAGGTAAGCACCACAGCTCCCCTAAAAGTATCACAGCCATCCTCAGCAACAATGAGATCCCAAGCTCCTCTAATTCCTATCAGGAAAGCCAATGCAACAAGCTTCATGAGACTAAGCAGTGCACCATCTTCCCCTCCAGAGCCAGGAATCAATGCTCACGATAAGGACCCAAGCTTCTCCCAAGTTCATCAGGCAATCCAGCAGGACAAGGTCCTCCAGGAGAACAGTGAACTAGCAGCTTCCAACAGCTTCTCAGAATAGCATCCCTAACAGCATTTTAGCAGCTTCTCCTGGTCTGCCTCTGCCCTGCTGGCAACAACCCTCCGGTGGGCCTCCCGCACCCAGCACCACACTAGTTCGATTCAGCTGGGTATAGCAAGTTGACCGCCAGTTAGCTATCTACCACACGTGGACTTAATCTGCTTCAGAGCTCTATGGAGGCCTTAACAGAAACGCGTATTTCTGGGCCCATCCTTAATGAGAATCTCTGGGAAGAGGCCTGGAAACTGGCATATTTGATCATTCTGTCCCTTAGCAAACCCTTGCATTAATGTTAGAGAATCGCTGAGCAAAAGACTCAATTATATTAAAATTACACTTTCCAACACTGGGAGTCTTGATTCTGATTAAAACATATGAGAAGTTCCAGATGAAATGGACACTTATATGGTGATTCAATAAATCACAGGGCCAAAACTTTCTCCATTAAATTACTCATGTTCTCATCTCCCTTCCATATACGGGGGCTTGCACCTGTCGCTGGCTGCATAAATTGACTGATAGGAAGGGAGAGATAATTAGTCATTCCTTTCAGCAATTATCACAATATGCATGACTCCCATCTTTCAATTATTTATTTAGCATCTGTTTTGTCTGCTGGACAGAAGACTCCTCAGCCTAGAGAACTAATCTGCCTTCCACTTGTGGGCACAGCTCCAGGTTCTAGTTCAGTCTGTAGACATGGAAAGTTTCGATAAATATGTGCTAAATTAATTAGCAAAATAATGGACCGTGTCTGTCAAGCACAATGATTTCAGTGATGCGACAGCTCCTAATAGTAACTGGCCAACAAGGTGTACTGTGAGGAGGAATCACTTTTCATTTGTGAAAATGAAATTAAACCACAAAGGAGAAAAATCTATGGCAAAACTAGTGCAATGGAAAGAGAAGAAGATTTGGAATCTTCCAGAAAATTTTTTTTTAAATGGAAGATAATGCATTTACTGTGTGACCTCAAACAAACTGAGCTCTCTAAAATCACGGCATCCCTGAAACTCGAGATTATATTAGCTATTTCTCTTATCTGGGGACTAACAGCAATTTAAAATCTAGTTAACAACCTCTTGTACATTCTAGGAGCTATGGATGTTTCTTACCTTTAGAGAGTTCAGAAGACAAAATAAATCAGACATGGAAGCACATGCCTATAATCCCAGCCCGAGAGAGGCAAGACAAGACTCATGAGTTCGTGGTCAGCCTGGGCTACTTAATGACTTCAGGACCAGCCTGAATGACACAGCAGACCCTGTCTAAAAAAAAAAAAAAAAGACAAAACAAAGAGAATGTCATGGAGGAGGAGCAAAAAGAGAAAGAGGAGGAGGAAAGGGAGGAGAAAGAGGATAAGGGGACCTGTCTGACTCTACAGACCCTAAAATTTTACTCTCTTGCCTTTCCCAGTTGACCAACCTAAGGATAAAGGCTGGAGAGTAGGCAGAAGTAGGTGAGGTGGGGTAACAAAGGTGCTAACCCAAGGCAAATTGTTTTTGTTGTCTTTATGAACAAGTACAGCGGAGAAAGCTGCTCACTGGGTCCGTAACTGCAGGGCAAGGGCCAGCGGATGTTTTCTCGCCAGCAACGCAAACTCCCCCGGAAAGGTGGCCAGAACGGAAGCGCCATCAGCTTCAGTGTGCAGGAATCCACTTCCTCACCCGAGCTCTGGCTGTCTTCCAAACAAGCAAAGAGGCTGGCTGCATGGGCCGTGGTAAGAAGCACCACCTCAGCGACTTCAGAGCCCCTGGAGACACTGATTTCTGTAATAAAGAAACGGTGGCTTGGAATGCATGCACCAGTGAATACGAGGTGCAGGATTGAATTCTCCCAGTCTCCTCAGCACTTTAGTAACTTTAGCATTCAAAGAACCCACTCAGTCCTGGCCCAAGTGGGCCCCATCCGAGAGTAAACAGGATAAAGGGAGGACTGGGTTGCTTCTAAGTGAACTGGAGAGTGGATAAGGATGATGCGGTACTTGCACATGATGGAGAACTACTCTGCCATGAAGAAGGATAAGCAAGAGTCACGTGTAGGAAAATAGAGCCCCTTGAGCCCGTAATATTGAGCAGAATAAGTCAGACACAGGAGCTTAAGTATCATGTGGTTTCTCTTATACGAGAAAGCAAAACTATCAACAAAGAGCTAAATAAAAAATAGCCATGGGTGGGAAAGGGGGAGAAACTTTTCTCAAACGGGAAGGGAACGGGCAGATGGAGGGAGAGAGTGAGGGGTGGAGAAGGGGATGGGAAACAGTGAAGGGCGCGGCGCGCGGTGCTCACGCTTCTTGCACTGCACACATCTGTTGATATTTAATAATAAGTAAATGAAAATAACTAGCGGGTGAACTTGGGGAAAATTTGTGAGCTCAAGATTTTCAACCTTCACCCTGAGTTAAGTTCTGCAACTGGCTCTGACTGCTCAGAGAGAAGGCTTTGCCTCCTTGGGACACTGAGGTACGGGCGTCTAGAGGTGTGGCTTGAGTGACTCTTTGCACTGTGTGCCGGGAATGGTGAAAGCCTTCCTCACCGATGGGAAGGACATCGCGGCTGCCCACAAGTCTGACCGCGTCCGCAAGCCAGTTCCACATCACCCAGAAGCGCCTCGGCACCTCCGTCCTGGAGGCTCTAGCCCTCCGCCAGTGGAAGCAACACCCACCTCCAGAACGCTCGAGGCTCGCGTGGGTACACCCGGAGGAGAAGGCGTTCATTCCGAGACGGGACCTTCCGCAATTCTAGGGGCTGACGGCCCTGCGGGGGCTTCTGTCTCAGGACTTCACGGTTCAGCTCGCTCGGACGTCAGCTCATGCACCGCGTGCGGACCCCAGCCCGCTGGAGCCCACCGCTGCGACTGTTCGAGGACGAGCTCCGGCGGTCGGGGTGGGGACCTCATTTCTGCGAGGCAGGGAGCGCGGTGGGGCCCAGCGGGAGGCGTGGGCGCCAGGACAGCGCCGCCCTCACAGGGCTAGAGCGCGCGGGGGGCGCTGCTGGCGCGGCCGCCTGCTCCTCCGCTGCCTCCCTGCTGCGCCTCTGCTTTCTGCTCCGAGTCCAGGGACCCTCCGCAGAAGGTCTCAGCCTGCTCCCCCTCCAGAACTGCAGGCCGAATCAAGCCTCTTTTCTCCATAAATTATCCGGTCTCGGGTATTCTCTTCGAGCAACGCGGTCCTTTTCCGTCTCGCTCCCGGGCGTGCAGAAGGGTCAAGCGCAAGCCGCGCTCGTGGGAGGCTGCGGTGCAGGCGGACGGAGGACGCCGCGGTGGCCGCGACACCCCGCACCTGCGCTCTGCTGCCATCCAGCGGCCACGCGGCCCGCTAGTGCCCGGAAGGCGCCGGCCGCGTTCCGAGTCGCGTGCGCCCTCTGCCTTCCCACCGCGGAGGCGCGGGGTCCCGCATGCAGTGAGCTGGCTTCGTCACGTGACTCCAGGC